ATTTTCCCTCTTCCTTTTATATTTCCCTCTCCCTTTCCTTTCTCCACTTCCTTTTACCTCTTTCTCATAACCCTCTTTTTTCCCAACCCTTTCTCTATCCCTTCCTCCCCTCCCCTCCCTCTATCCTCTATTCACCCCCCCCCTTTTTCTCTTCCCTTTTCCCTCCAATCCCCCTCCCTCCCCCCTTTTTCCCACCATGCTCCTCTCCTCACTCTTCCTCCAATCCCCTACCCTCCTTTCCAACCCTTCCCTCCCTCCTCTTTCCTCCCCGCTTAAGCTCCCTCCCTCCTTCCCCCCCCCCCCCCCCTTTCCAACCTTCTTTACCCCTCCTTCCCTCCCAATCCCTCCCTTCATATCCTCCCTCCATCCCCCCCTTCCCCCTCCTTCCCCCAATTTCTCCCCTCACCCTCCCCCCTATCCCCTCCCCGCCCTGAAACGTAAGAAAATGAAGCCCAAATTTGGCACCTTAAGCGGGGCTCTCCTTTACCCTTCGAGCTGCGGAATAAATAAACGTTTGACCTCTCTTCCCCTCTCATCTCATCTCTCTCTCTCTCTCACCTCTCTCCTCATCTCTCTCTTCCCGCTTCTCTCTCTCTCTCTCTCTCTCCCTCTCGTCCTCTCTCTCTCTCTCTCTCTCTAACCTACTCACTTCTCTTCTCTCTCTCTCTCCCTCTCTCCACATCCTCCCTCTCTCTATCACTTCCTCTCTCTCTCTCTCTCTCTCCTCTTTCTCCTCTATTCTCTCATCCGTCTCTCTCTCCTCTCCTCTCTTCTCTGTCCCTCTCTCTCTCTCTCTCTCTCTCTCTTCTTCATCATGTCTTTCCTCTCCCTCTCATCTTCTCTCTTACCTTACCTCTTTCTTCAACTCCTCACTTTTTCTCTCTATCTTTTTTCTCACTCTAAAACTGCTCCTCGCTCTCTTTCTTCTAAGTCACTCCTCTTCCTTCGCTCCTTTTTCTCACTCTCTATCGGTACACTCTCTCACCTCTCTCTCTCACCTCTTCACTCCTCTTTCTCACTCCTTTTCTTTCCTCTCCCTACTCCTTTCCTGTCCTTTCTCTACCTCTTCTCTCTCGCTTAGTTTCTCTCTATCTCTCCTCTCCTTTCTTACTCTCTTCTCTCTCATATTTCTTCTTTCACTGGTCCTCGCATTTCTCTTTCACCCTTCTCGGCAACTTAGGTCTCTCTTCTTCTCACTTTCTTTTTCTCCTTCTGGTGTCACTCGGCGTTTCTGGTTCTTCTCTTCTTTCACGGGGTTCTCACTCTCTTTCTGGTCCTTTCTCTTTCACTCTCTCGTCCCCTCATTTGTCTCTCTTTCTCACCTTTTTCTGTCTCCTCTTCACTCTCTTCTGTTCTCCTCTTTCTCTCGCCTCTTTTCTTCTATTCTTTCACTGGTTCTCACTCTCTGTTTCTTCTTTCATTTTCTTCTATCTCTCTCTTCTTTCATCTCTCACTCACTCGCTTTTTCTGTCCCTTTCTTTCTTTCACTCTCTCGCACCTCAGTTGTCTCTCTCTTTTCTCTCACTATTCTTCTGGTCTCTCTCTCTCTCCTTTCACTCTCTTTCTGTCCGCTCTTGCTCTCAGCTCTTTTCTGCTGTGGCTTGTCGTCACGGTTGTCTGTCTCTCTATTCTCTTTCCGTGTTAATTTCTTTTTTTCATGTTTAGTCTTGCGTTCGCACTTGTGGCTTCTGTTCTAGGTCGGTTTTGGGTTTTCTTCCCTTGTTTGTAATCTAAATGCTTTGTGTTTGGTATTCATCTGTCCTTCGCCTTTCTCCCCACTGTCCCGGTCTTCGCCCTTCCTGATCTGCTGTCGTCGGTTGCGTCCATCTCTTTTCCTCCGCCTGCCATCCCCTGGCCCCTCTTGCCGCCTCTGCTCTCGCGCTTCTCTCCCGATCTTTCTCCTTCTTTCCCTGCTATCCATGGCCCTCGGCTCGTCCGTCCTCTTCGCCCGGTAGTGCCACCACCCCTCCCTTCCTCCCTCATTCCGCTCCAGAATCCGTCCCTCTCTCTTCTGCCCCACTCTTCCTCTTCTTTCCAACCCCCCCCTTTCCTCCTCTCTCCCCCTTCCATCCTCCCTCCCTCATCCTTCTTTCCTCCTCCCGCTCCCTCTCACTATCTACTCTCTCATCCCCTCCTCTCCCTCTCCCTCCACTAATCCCTCCTCACCCTTCCCTCTCCTCTCCCTCGTCCCTCCCCCCTATCCCCTCCCTCTCCTCACCTCCCTCATCCCTCTCCCTCATCGCCTCTCACTCTCCCTCTCCCTCTCACTTAATCCCTCTTCCCTCCCCCTCTCCGCCTCCCTATCACTCAACTCCTCATCCCACTCTCCCTTCACTCACTCCTCATCCCCCTCTCCTCTCCTCCTCTTCCTTCCCTCTCCCTCTCCGGCCGAAGCCACAGCGAAACCTCTGAGTGTTGACGCCAATAACAGTCACAACAGAACAACAGATCGTTTGACGTCCAATTCACGGTACGGTATCGTTGGGAGAAAGAGGGGAGAGGAAAAGGAGGGAGATAGAGATAAGAGAATGGGAGGAGGAGAAAGACAGAGAGGGAGGAAAGAGAAGAGAAAGACAGAGGAGGGGGAGAAAGAGAGAGAGGGGGAGGGTAAGAAAAGAGAGAGGGGGAGGGAAAGAGGAGGGGAGGGTAAGAGAGAGAGAGAAAGAGAGAGAGAGAGAGAGAGAGAGAAGAGAGAGAGAGAGAGAGAGAGAGAGAGAGAGAGATAGAGAGAGAGAGAGACGAGAGAGAGAGAACAGAGAGAGAGACGGACACGATGAGAGGAAGACTTCGGGGCAGACAGAGAACAGAGAGAGAGGAAGCGAGAGACGAAGAGAGAGAGAACCACAGACACGAGAGAGAAGAGAGAGAGAGAGAGCAGAGAGAGAGAGAGGAGAGAGAGAGAGAGAGAGGAAGAGATGAGAGAGAGAGAAAGAGAGAAGACGAGAGAGAGAAGAAGAGACAGACCAGAGAGAGAGAGAGAGAGAGAGACGAGAGAGCAGAGACGAGAGAGAGAGAGAGAAGAGAGAGAGAGAGAGACGAGAGAGAGAAGAGAGAGGAGAGAGAGAGAGAGCAGCCGAGAAAGAGAGAAGAGAGAGAGAGAAGAGAGAGAAAGAGAGAGAGAGAGGAAGAGAGGAGAAGAAGAGGAGGAGAGGAGGAGAGAGAGAGAGAGAGAGAGAGAGAGAAGAGAGAGAGAGAGAGAGAGAGTGGTGAGAAAGAGAGAGAAGAGAGAGAAGATGAATAGATAGATAGAATATGATAGATAGAAGATAGATAGATAGAGATGAGAGAGAAGAGAGAGAGAGAGAGAGAGAGAGAGAGAAGAGAGAGAGAGAGAGTAGAGAGCGAGAGAGAGAGAGTAGGCAGGAGGAGAGAGAGCAGAAAAGAGAGTAGAGAGACGAGAGAGAGATGAGAGAGAGAGAAAGAGAGAGTGAGGAGGAGAGGAACGAGAGAGACGAGAGAGCAGAGAGAGAAGACAGAGAGAGAAAGAGAGAGAGATAGAGAGAGAGAGAGAAGGAGAGAAGAGAGAGAGAGAGAGATGAGAGAGAGAGAGAAGAGACGAGAGAGAGAGAGGAGAGAGAGAAGAGAAAAGAAAAAGGAGAGAGAGAGAGGAAGAGAAGAGAGAGAGAGGAGAGAGAGAGAGAGAGAGAGAGCAGAGGAGAGGAAGAAGAGAGAGAGAGAGAGAGATTAGAATAGATTAGGATAGAAGAATAGGAGAGAGAGAAGAGAGAGAGAGAGGAGAGAGAAGAGAGAAGAGAGAGAGAGAGAGAGAAAGAGAGAAGAAGAAGGAGAGAGAGAGAGAGAGATGAGACGAGACGAGAGAGAGGAGAGAGCCCGAGAGAGAGAGAGAGAGAGAGAGAGAGAGAGAGAGAGAGAGAGAACGAGAGAGAAGAGGAAAGGAGAGAGAGAGAGAGAGAGAGAGAGAGAGAGAGAGAGAGATGAGACGAGAGAGAAGATGAGAAGAGACGAAGAGAGGAGAGAGGGAGAGAGAGAGAGGAGGAAAAGGAGATGAGAAACCTCGCACTCAGGGCACGATCTTTAGCGCTAAAGGCAACTCACTTAAGTCAAGCTTCCGTTTTTATTTCCTGAAACTCCTTTTTTTCCTTTCTTCTTTTTTTTTTTTTTTTTTCTGTTTGTCTTTTTTTTGGTTGTATTTTTTTTTTGTCTTTTTTATCTATTTTTATTATTATTTTGTCTTGTTTCTTTCTTTTTTTTTTGGTTGTTTTTTTTTTCTTTTTTTTTTTTTTTCTTTTTTTTATTTTCGCAAAGGGGAGTCTCTCGCTCTTATTTTCCTTCTTTGTGACATGTATACTCTGGCGCTGGTGTAGTAAAATAGACGCTGAAAGCTGTGGGGAATTTCTAGATTTGTCTGTCGTCTCTCTGTCTGCTGTCTGCTCGTCTGTCTGTCTCTCTGTTGGTCTGTTTGTCTGTCTGTCTGTCTCTCTGTTTGTTGGTCTGTCTGCTTGTCTGTTTGTCTATCGGTCTGTCTGTCTGTTTGTTTGTCTGTCTATCTGCTTGTCTGTCTGTCTGTCTGTTTGTTTGTCTATCTGTCTATCTGCTTGTCTGTCTGGCTGACTGTTTTCTTCTTTCACTTTCTTCTCTTTCTTTTCCGTCCCCCCTCTTTCTCTGTGTCTGTCTGTTTCATTTTTCGCTATCTCTCCGCCTCCTCTCATTTTGTCCCGCTTCGTCTATGTTTTGGCAAAACAAAGTGAGAAACAAAACAAGAGACAATTCAGAGAGAAAAAAAGAGAAATAAAACAAAAACAACAACAAACAAAACGAAACAACATAAAAAAAACAATGCAAAAGAAAAGAAAACAATAAAAAACAAGACAAAAATAAAACAAACGAAAACAAAACATAAAAAAACAAAGCAAAAGAAAAGAAAACAGCAACAAAATCAAACCGAAACAAAACAAGAAACAAAACGAAAAAAAAAAAAATTCCACCGACCCCTTAATATTCAAACAAACAAATAAAAAAATCTACCCCTTCCCTTTCAGCATGTGAGACCTGTTTCCGTCTCGCCTGAAGAACAGTGAAGAACATGCGCGAGACAGTGCCCAGCGCAGTGCCATTCACATCCCTGGCATTACCTGGGCAGTGACAAAGCCTCCGAAGACACAGGTGTGACAGAGGAAAGGTAAAAGACATATGACTTTCAAAGACACTGTAGCCTTGTCGCGTGATAAAGGAGGACTTTAGTTATCCTTGTTACTCTTGAAGGTCAACCTTGACCACCTGAGACTAGATAATAAGGGGGGAAATAAGCTCATAAAAGAGAGAAAGAGAGAAAGAAAGAAAAAAATATATAAAGGGAAAAAAAGAAGGTACTATTGCGCGTATTAAACTGCGCACTCGGTACAAGGTATACAAGGTCGCGTTAGAAGAGCATATAAAAACACACATTTTCACACATACACACGCGAGCAAGAGACCAAAGTGTAGAGTGCTAAAGACCAAAGTGTACAGTACAAAAGACTAGACAGTGCAAAAGAGCAAAGTGTACAGTGCATTAGACCAAAGTGTACAGTGCAAAAGACTTCACTATACAGTGCAAAAGACCAAAGAATACAGTGCGCGTTCTGCAGTGATGATGGCTGCTCCTCTCAACATACAGTGTCGCAAGTATCTACTCCTATGGTGCATCGTCTACTTCTGTACAGGTAAGTTTTCATGTTTTTCGTTCATTTTGAAGCAGTATAAGTGGTATTTTTCGATTAATTTCGATGAAGAGGGTGAAGACGATGGGAACTGATATATTTAGAAAATCTAAAAAAAAAGATACAAAGAAAAGAAAATAATAATAAAAAAGAAAAAATGCTGATTATTCACATTCTTATTCTCTCATTCGTTGTACAGAAAATTCACGAGTTATCCCTTAACTGACAAAATGGAATCATACAATATAATATCTAGTATTAACGTGAAAACTATTTACCCTTATTAAATTTTTTTGTATCGGTGAAAATAACGATACAGCTTTGCAAATGATAATCAAATGCAAAATAAACCATCGAGACCAGTCAGCCCCATAGATTCATTTCATCAATACGTCAAACAAACGGCACAGAATATATACATAAATAACGTGACAATTATGCTTTTAAAAATATTATATGTGTGAAGTGACACATATCGTCTGACAAAATTGCAGCATGTTTGGAGATAATGTGAACTGTGCAACATGGAAAATAAACATAGCCGTGCATTATTTCATGATTTGTTGCAATGGCAAATACTAAAACCATTTGTTATTATCGTTTGCCAATGCACGCTAATGATAATGGGTCGATTTAACACCGTACATACCGTAGAGAGAGAGGGAGAGAGGAAGAGGAGAGTGGAGAGGGAGGGAGGAAAAGAAGGGGAGGAGGGAGGGAAGGAGGGTGGGTGAGAGGGAGGGGGGAGGGAAGGAAGGAAGGAAGGAAGGAAGGGTTTGGAGGGAGGAGGGAAGGAGGTGGGTGGGATGGACAGAGGGAAGGAGGAGGAAGGAAGGAAGGAAGGGATTTGGAGGGGAGAAGTGGAGGAGGGTGGGTGGGAATGGACGGAGGGAGGGAGGGAGGGAGGAGAAGGAAGGAAGGAAGGGTTTGGAGGGAGAGGAGGGAAGGAGGGTGGGTGGGATGGACGGAGGGAGGGAGGAGGGGAAGGAAGGAAGGAAGGAAGGGGTTTGGACGGGAGGGAAGGAGGGTGGGTGGGGATGGACGGAGGAGGAGGGAGGAAGAAGGAAGAAGGATTATGGACGAGAGGAGGGAAAGAGATTGGAGGATGAGAACGGAGGGAGGGAGGAGGGAGGGAAGGGAGGTGGGAAGGAGCGAAGAGAGAAAGAAAGAGAATGGATGGATTATGGATGGATGGATGAAGGAAGGAAGGAAAGGAGAGGGGAGAGAGGGGAATGAGGATATATATATTATATATATATATTATATATATACTATATATATATAATATATACGTATAATATATATATATATATATAATATATGTAATATATATAATACATGAGAGAGAAGAGAAGATAAAGATAAGATAGAGAGAGAGAGAGATAGAAAGAGGACTAGATAGATTGTTATAGTGACTAAAAGACGGACAGACACATAGATAGATAGAGAGACTGACAGATTGACAGACAGAGACACAAAGAGACCGAGAGAAAGAAAGAACGAGCCAGAGACAAGAAAAAGAGAAAGAAAGAGAGAAAAAGATGAATATGAGGTATCTACACAAACAGACAGACTTATAGGCAAACTGATACACAGAGAAGTGATCGATAGACACGAACAAAGGCACCTTTCAGTATCTCATCCCTCGGGGTCTGGGGCAGAGTGTTTTATGACACCCACTCTGGATGGTGTCAAATAAAATGACACCATCTTGACAGCCTAACAGAATTTGATTGAATCTAGCTGTCAAAAGAACTGAAATGCGCAAGACATATTATTTATTTAGAATACCTGTTAGAAAATATTTATTTCCAATATTTTTCCCATTTTCATATTCCATGTATTCCGTATTACGAGAAAGAATTTAGAAATTGGATATCAGAATTTTGGAGACAAAAAAAAAAAAAAAAAAGAATCTAAAGAGGAATTTAGAAGCTAAAAAGACTCTAGAATCTTTTAAAAGAGGTTGTTTTACGGTTTCCCCAAAAGTTCAATGGCATCTGAACATTAGGAAAAGTTCAAGCACATCCCTTACATTAGCAAAAAGTTTATACTGCAGTTCTGGCGCAAGGACTTCTGTGGCCGGCGATACAGACTATTAGATATGGGGAGAGGAAGGGAGAGAGAGATAGAAGCGGAGAGAGAGAGGAGTCTGTTTTGTTGAGAATAGAGAAGAGGGGGGGGAGACGATAGATTAGATAGATAGAAGACAAAGAGTAGATATATAGGTAGAGACAAAACAGATATATGGATGGATAGATAGATAAATTTGATTGACCTAGAACGATTAGCATAGAAAGAAATGGAGGGAGATAATATGGATAGATAGGTAGATAGATAGAGAGATGAGAGAATGAGAAGGGATGGAAGAGATGAGAGGCAAATGAGAAAGAAAGAGATAGACAGATAGATAGATAGATGGAGGAGGGGGGAGAGAGAGAAAAAGAGCGATAGAAGGGAGCGGGACAAAGAGGAAAGAAGGGATACGCAAGAAGTCACACACACGTATACATTATACAGTATATATATATATATATAGATATACTTATATATATATATTATATATATATATATATCATATATATATAATATATATATAATTATACATACACACTATATACTATAATATATATATATATTATATATATATATAATATATATATACTATATATCTATTATATAATTTATATTATATATATATATATATATATATCATATATATAACATATATATATATATATATTTTATATATATATATATATATATATATATATATATAATATAAGTATATATATATATATATATGCGTGTGGTATATATTTCCATCTTCCATTTTTTCAGGTTTTCTGATTTGGAATTTTGAACACTACTCTATAAAATCTACCGAGTGCTCCTACGGTGATGTGTGTAAAAGTATCCTTCCTCATGTATCGAGTTGGTAGGTAATGTTTTATGGCGCTCTTAGTTCTAGTTGCACACTCCTTTTAGTGGGTCGTATGTACGAGGCGGCGAGTGGCCGTCTTCCAGCTGCCTGCCGCAACGGCGAATGAGGGTTACGAATCCCGCATCGGGCAGAGGCTATGTATTAATCATATAAATGCGTTAGTGCATTATTCCATCTTTCATGGATTATATATATAATATATTGTGATGTGTGTGTCTGTATGTGTGTGTGTGTGTGTGTGTGTGTGTGTCTGCGAGTCGTGTGCGTGCGTGTGGCTGTGTGTGTGTGTGTATGTGCATATATATATATATATATATATTATATATATATATATATATATATATATATATATATAATATATATATTATATATCATAATACTTATTATGCAATATTCACACAAATATATATGATCATATATATATAGCATATATTTACACATATAATAACAATATATGTGCAGTATGCGTGTGTATCTTTGTCCGTGCCACAATGCACAGCCGGGTCATAGAAGCCGCCCTCGATGGACCCCCGA